GGCACACTCCCTCGCACCCTAGGACCTGGGTACGGAGTGCGTCCGAGGCGCCCGCCGGCATCGGTGGGGGTAGGGACGGCGGTGCCGGGGAGCACCCGAAAATCCCACTTTTCGATTGTGGCAGCGCCAAGGTGTTAGGAGTAGCTAGAGCGGCCTCTTGCAGGAAATGACAGAATGGGCAAGGCCCGGAAGGGGCTCTTCGTGTGAGGGTCTTTGTCGAGAGCTATCCCCGAGAGCGGAGGCGTGGAGAGGAAGCCTCGTTTAAGTGAAACAAGCACCTCCGCCGTGGGCCTGAGATTGTACACATATTAGGAAAAGCAGCACTGTTGTAACGCCCGGACAATGAAGGATGTGTGAACAGCACCTCTGGCCCACCGCTGCGGCCAAACGCCGGGGAAACAAGGTTCACACCTACCGACCTGGGCGCGGACCTATCTACCTTCCTCCCAGACTCCCTCCACCCTTGATGCCAGACTAAAGCTCTTCCCACGCCCCGTCAGCTCCGGGCGGAGGCAAAACCAGGAGAGTGGATTCCTGTGAGCCATCCCCAAATACCAGGGATACCTCCGCAACAGCCTGCTGGAACAGCTAGGAGGAAGCTTGGGTTCATTCCAGCCAACCGGACCGCGCCTCTGTACCATGTGATAGCACTCACCGCCAATGCACAGCCGCCTGCTACCACGTGACAACCCTCTTCCATCTAATGGGAGGAAAAATCTTGTTGCAGCATCAGCCAACCTCCCTCCCTAGACCTTGCCCGGCTGGGCTTTTGGTCCCGTGTCATCTCCACCTACGAATCTTAGGTGAGCCGCTGAATGACGCAGACTTCCGTCAGGCCAACCGCAACTCGCGATTCTCCTGCTACTGTGGAAACCTGGTTAAGCGCTGGTGTGGTTTGGGAGGGAGAAGCAAAGATTGAGCTGGGCGCTGTGCCCTATTCGAGCAAAGTAGAAAGGTTGGTTAGAGACCATGAATTCCATTTTTAACGGAGGCTGTGGCATTTAGCTCCAGGGCATGGGAACTGTGCTGAGGGGTGTGTGATGATGGATGGACAGAATCAAGAACGCAGAGAAATGTTCCCATTTCTAAGGAACTATAGTGCTTCCTTGAAGATTGGCTTCCTCTGAAACCCTAGCGAGCAGTTCGGTCCTGTCCTGTAAGAATCGGAATCCACTGGGGTAGTGGGTGGTTTTGGAGCGCAGCGATTACAGGGGTCCTCTTGGCTAGTCCCCAGAGGCGTGCTGCTTTTTGTTTGTCTTCTGGAATACAATACTTAAGGCCATGGCTCGCTTGCAGTAGAGCTGAGTTGCATAGCCTTTTTCACCCACAACATCAATTTTAGAAACAACTACAGCCCCAGACATTCCTTATTTTTGTAGCAACTCACTGTTGGGTGTACCTCCCATAAACAATGTCTTCCTGAACCTAGTCAATCCTCATCCATTCCTATCTCAGCTCTTCAGAATAATAAATCATATAGTTATGTTTGATCCTGACATACCTCTCAACTGTTCCTCTTTTTCTACAAGAACATGTTTTAGAGAAGATGTCGGTCGGAGGTCCTCTAAAATCAGATGTGTCTCCCCTGGTTTTGTAATTGTCAGACTATCACAAAGATACTTAGATTTAGCATTGTCCAAAAGTCATCAATCTATCATATTAGAATGGATAATTTCTATTTTCATATCTTGCTACCTATGAAAACCTAAGATTTTGTTGAAAGCAATTAGAGGTAAGTGCCCTGTCAAAGTCATGGCCATCAAGTGGAATTTTGACTCCTAGTGACCCTTTGGAGTGCTGGTGGTGTATTGGGCTACTTAATAAGCTGCGAAACACAAGTTCAGCAGTTCCCATCCATGAAATAAAGGGGTGTCTTTCTGCTCCTGTAAAGATTTAGAGCCTGTGAAACCAAAAAGCACAATTCTCCCATGCCCTCTCAGGTTTCTATGAGTCAAAATTGACCCAATGGCAGCGAGTTTGGTTTAGATCAGTGGTTCTCAACCTTCCTAATGCAGTTCCTTTTTTTTTTTCAATCATTTTATTAGGGGCTCATACAACTCTCATCACAATCCACACATACATCAATTGTGTAAAGCGCATTTGTACATTCATTGCCCTCATCATTCTCAAAACATTCTCTCCACTCAAGCC